AAATTTGAGCCTATCAAATAAACTAATTGCAAAAAAGAAATCAGTGTATAAAAAATTAACCATAAATTTTTCAGGAGTCACCCTATGTTACTTAGTAAGATCAAAAATAAATCACGAACCGTTAGAGATAGAAAATTTCTTCGTTGAGTACAATGTTCGACAAAATTATAGGAAAACTTATTCAAAGCTACTTTACCCCGTAACGTGGGTAGATCACCTTTTTGTGGTACGTTGCGGGATGTAAGATCTACCACCGATTCCTAATACTCACTACTTCAAACTAGGGGAACAGGATTTTTCAGTAATCAAAGGAACACATCTTAGTCCTTGTTACTTTTTATGCCTTGTTGATAGCGATAAGTCCTTGGGTTGCCTAAACCGAGGATGATCTTGAATCAAGGAAACATGAGTTAGTTAGTCTTCATCTAAGTCAGCGCTGACCAACGTGACGTGGTCTCTGGATCTCAACAATGATCTGACTCTAGTCCAATTTTGTTAATCATTATGAGTTAAAACTCATAATGGGCTAAAGCCCAGAATGAATGAGTGTCCCGAATGAGTGGTTTTATGTCCCGAACTTTGCTAAAGATTGCAATTTTTTTACGATTTCTGTTTGTTTTTAATAAGTAACATAATAAGTAAATTAACTTTTTACCATTCATTTCTCGTAAACAGTTTGTTCTAAACACTTTTTGAACTTTTTATGGCACACACCAAGCTTTAAACGGTTGGAAAAAAATTAACGATTTTCATTAAAAAATACGGCCTTTTAAGAAGTTAAGTAAATGAGTAAAAAAAAAAAAAAACCTTCACAGTTTTTTTCATCGTAGATGAATAAAAGTACAATCTTTTAAATGCATCTAATTACATAAAAATCTGCTTGCGCCATTTTTAGACATCTTATTCTGTGGGTTTATTATGTCTCTACTGGTGCTTTACACGTTTCATGGATTTTTTTTGTTTATTAATTTATTTGATAAGGCTCAACACAAAAAAACATTTTATCTTCCGCTATCCAATAAGCCTCCTCCACTAGAATGGGAGCCGCTTCCAGTGGTTTCATTGTATGTCAGATTCGAAACGGTTGCTTTTCAAAGTCGACGACGCATTGACTGAAAGAACTGCTGATGAAGAACAATGAGGAGGATCACACAATGGTTGCTGCCGAGTAAACAGACGATCGCATGACACACATTGAGAGTGATCTACTTCTGTCGACAGCCGAGTGAACACTCTTTCATGGAATTGTGTGAGGTAAATCTAAAATTTGTTTATTTTTTCGCTTTTTGGCCTGGAACTGCTCTTTAGCCCTAGTGCTACACCTAGGCGCCTAATACAAAGGTGACACACAAGGAAGAAGTGTTAGTTTTTTTACTAAAATATCAATGTGGGAAGGCATTTGTGATCAGTATACACATTCTGGTTGCATGAAACATTAAAGTTGTCCAAAACTGCCCGTATTTTTTGTTTGTTTTGGCACTGTTTATGGCAAAATAGTGAACATTTCGTGAGCATTAACTAGCGGCCGACTACCGTGAGTACTTAACCACCTATACATACTCCCATCTTGGTGCAACGCACTCAAGGCGGATAATCACAGGTGAGCTGGAACTCACAGTCCGCTAGTGTTGATGAGTTATTTGCCGTTAATGTTCATGAAAAATTCGCTATTTTGCCATAAACAGTGCCAAAACAAAAAAAGTTAACGGGTGGATTTGGACAGATTTGGACCTGTTTCATACGACCGGAAGGTGTATGCTGGTCACAAATGGCTTGCGGAATTGATTTCCTACGCAAGTGATGTGAATTTCGCGAATAAACACGAGGAGGATTGATTACAGCAAAACTTGCTATATTCAATCGTCACAGTTTATTTTAGTAAACAAACTAACACTTCTTCCTTCTGTGGCACTATTCATTATCCGCCTTGCTACGAGCTTACCTACAAGAAGCTTATATATACGCATGTAGGAAGACGATGAAAAATTGGCCTATAGTAAAATAGTAATAGGGGGTTATGCCGAGAGTCAAAGTGACTTTTGTCACTAGTGAAGTGAGAAAGGTCACGTCGTGGTGAGTTGACTCTCTGTGCAAATCAAATGGAAAGTCACGTCACCACGACGGTGACTTTTCTCACTTCACTAGTGACAAAAGTCACTTCGACTCTCGGAATAACCCCCATAACTTTTTTCTCAGAAGTTGAATCAATTTGCGGTCTTCGATAAAGTTGTTCTGCATAATGTTCCAAATCTAAGTTTGAGGGTAGGTCAAAATTAAGCTAGTTTTGAATGTTTGACACACAAATGAATAAAGTTTCGACGTATTTTTCATACACTTGTCCATACAAAATTAATAATTCCCCTGTAAATCCAGACCATAAAAAAATCACTCACATTTTGCACAGTTTTTGGGGACCTCAATATAAATCGAAAGAGCAGTGGGGAGCAGGATGTTGTGATCCATTATATAATCTTTACTCCCCCCCCTCCCCCTAATATATAATGTTAAATTTTTTTGTATGAAGTATGATATACTCATAAAATTCATATGTTTGAAACATTTAATTGTTTGCTCCGATCAACAGGGTGTTATACTAAAAGAAACGGTAAATGTATTATTCAAGTGTAGACGGTAGTTTGTTAGAAGTTGGGGAGAGTTTGATCGTCAAGGAGCGGAAACAGAGAGGGGACTAGGAAGTGAAAAATAATTATTAAAGCACCGTGAAGGCACCGTATTTGATGCAGTTAAGGAAATATAAAATTCAATATTGATTTAAAAAATCAACACGCAATGATTTTCTTTGAAATTTTGCGTGCCACTATTTGGAATATTTAAGAATTGTAGCAACATATAAAACTGGACGAACTTGTTAAATAAATTTGGGAAAAAAATACTTTTGATATCGTAAGTCATGTATCTAATAATGGTACATTAATTTTACGATTTTCCTTATTTGACGCACTATAAATGTAATAAAAAAGCGATTTTTGGTTGACGACAAATAAAACAAAACTATAATGATGGATTGTTGAAGATTTCGTTAAATACGTAGTGGGAACATTTAATTTAATTGCCTTTCCAAAAAAGGGTCGTGGACATAGATTTATTAACAAAACAAAGTCATTTTAATTATTTCGAGATTTATTTCAAAAATATGCCAGAAGGATAACAATTGTCCATGATAGAACTATTCAACCAAATCTATTCTTTGTATTGATTTTCAAAATAGTAAAGTGTGGGGTGAAAGACGAACACATCTAGAGATTTCGACGTGGGAACATAGGGTCATTACCGATTTAGATTACTTTCGACCTTTCAGTGTGTGGGATAGGTTTACCCAGTTGTCCGAAAAAACACAAAACATACAGCTAACCCAGTTGCTAATCGATTTTCTGGTGATTTTTCTTCCTTTCGGATTCTATTTTTTGAACTGAAAATAATTAGGAATAGTATGAACCTAATTTGACGCAAACATCATACATAAAAGGATGACAAAATTGCATTAATAGTACCGGAACAGCGTTAAGTTGATTTTTAACATGAAAACCAACAAAAGCTGATCCATAAACTTTGATGTATGAATTTTGACGCATTTGACAGATGCAATTTTCCGTTCGCTCATAAATATATTGTCCAAAATAAGCTATCCACAGACAGATTTTCGTGGCGAATGTTAAGGTTGAGTGCTAATAAAACACTAGTGGTTGATATTTCGTTGTCTGAATGCGGGCATAGTACAACAGTGCGTCAAGTTTGGACCTGCGTCAAATATGGTACCTCCACGGTAGTACTCGTTTAATAAAAATGATGGTTAAATTTTACAGTCCACTTGCTTTTTTTTCCATTGATTATCCTAAGAACACGGAGCATCACGAACAGTAAAAAAATTTGAATTTTAACTATCGCGTAAAATCTCCCTTCGTTTAATTTTGAGCTATACTTGGCATAAACAGCGAAATATGAGCACCTTAGTAAAAGTTAATTAGAAATCATGTAGAAATAGAAACATAAGGTATTTTAGCAATTTTTACGTGTATTTAATTTCGGTGAATACGAAGTGAAGTGTCAACTTTTCTCTCACGGTGAAGTGATTCCCATTTGATTTACCCGGGAATCCCTTCACCATGAATGACAACTTGTCACTTCACTTCGTTTTCACCGTGAAGTGATAATAAGGGCCAGTAATAGTGACCATTGATAGAACCAGCGGATTGATAAAATGCTGTATAGTGAATACAATGCTTATTATGTTGACTGAAAATCCTTTAATATTTAAGAGATGATGAGAAAAAAAATAATTTTCACCATTATCTTAGACACATAATTTAGTTTTGATACGGTTTTCATGAAGATGCATATAGAAGCATGTTCAACAAGTTTGTTAAAAAAAAGTAGATTAAATTAATAGGTAACTTCTCCAAACGAACAGTGGCCTATCTCGCCCCATATGATCTTCTTGCTCCATCAACCCTATATGTAATCAAATCTATTGATAACCGAGTCTGAGCTGTGCATTCGCTTTGTTTCGTCAGTATGTGCTTAGATTGAGAACAACATGCTCACTTAGCTCACTTATTCTCAATGCAAATTACCAAACCATATGTTAATGAGAATGCCAACCCAAGAACCGGAGTAAAACACAAGTCTCAAATTTAATATAATTGCAGTCAATCAATTAAATGCAATTCAATTAAATGTGATTTATGGCTGCACCACAAAGCCAATGATGTATGTTTTTGTTCTAAAGATAGTCTCAAGATATACATGGTCATTCACAATCTGATTGAAGAATTCCTCGCATTCATTACATTCAGACTCAAATCCCCGTTATCCTACAAATAGTTAAATTGAGGACGTATTTTACCTACTCCATTGGCAGCACCTCAACTACGATAAATCAATGCTAAACGTACCCCCAAAGCACCAAAAACCTGCAATTGCACCCGAATAACAATGTATTCCATCCAATAAAAATAAATTATTCCCTTCGCACATTGCAGACCTTTCATACGCCATCGTTTGGCGACGAGGAATTTGACATTCCTACAATGAACTCACATCTTCATCCTCAACAGCAGCAACAACATCAACAACATCAACAACAACAACAACAACAACAGCAGCAGCAACAACAACAACAACAGCAGCAGCAGCAACAACAACAACAACAACAACAGCAGCAACATCCACATCAAACGCATCAGATGGAACAGCACCAGTATCAAATGCACAATAATGGCCAACCGCCGCCCCATATGGGAATGCTAAATGACCAGCAACAGCCACAACAGCAGCAGCAGCAACAGCAACAATACAATCAATGGCATCAGGAATCACATTTAACTCACCACAGGTATGTGTGTTCCTTTACCTACTGCTACTACACACCATCATAAGCTCGACCTACAGCTACATTGCTAGTCTCCAATCGCACTAGGTGACGATGACAACAACGACAGTGTCTACTCTCGCTGACAGCAATTCATGTTGGCTATGGGCCAAAACCAAAACTCTACTATTATATTCAACGGTGGTCTCAAAGTACAGTTTGATAGAAATTAGCGCCACTTAAGCACTTCATCAGCACTCAAACTGTAATGCAAAAGCCAAATATGCTTGTGTCCCCACAAACCACCCAACATTTTCTCCAAAATATAGTTTTTGATATAAATAGATGATAAATCAGTTTGAGCTCATATAACGCGTATTATTTCCAGATTTACTCTTGAGTTTCCCAAGTGTCATCTTCAAATTAACACCATTTGAGAAATGTTTATATTTTCCAATTGTTGTGCCCATAGTGCATAAGAGACAGAGGGAGCATAACAAAAGGCACTCCATTGATATAGTTGTTACACTCTATAGACGAAGAAAAAAAAACGTACATACTATTTTACACTGCCATGTGCTCCGTTCCCGCGATCAACATTTTTGAGTAGTATTTGTTATTTTTTTTCTCACTCTCTTTTTTTTCATTTTATTGCTTTCTACAACTCTCTCTCCAGTTCGTACTCAATGCCGTCACCAAATCAGCCCACATATCACCAGCTGAATAGCCCTAGTCCAAATAATCCGAACGCAACCTTGCACGTGATGCAACCACCGCAGCAGTCGCCACAGATTCCACCGCAAATGTCACCGCAGCTGGGCTCCGGTGCACCCGTCGGGACAGTTCCTGGCGGCTACATGGGCAGGTCCCCTCCTCAGCCAGGAGGTGGTGGAGGTCATCATATAAACAATAACGAACCAGGCACGACCAGCGAGGATAGCGACGATGCCATTCCGGTAATTAGTTTGAATTTATTCATTCGGAAGTGTCCAACGAAACCGATGGGATTTTCAACGAAATGCCATCGGCTTACGCAAATACATATGCCGTAACACTACTGATACCAATTGTTTATTTGTTACCATACACATTGTAATCAACAGGCCAACACGTTGAAACGGCCGTCGCCTGAACCGGTGTACGATGGGGATTCTAACAATTCGAAAACATCTGCTGGTGCGTCACTAGCGAAAAAACCAAAGGTAGCCAAAAAGAAGAAGAAACGGGACCCTAACGAGCCGCAAAAGTAAGTACACCTTCTATGATATACAATATACAAATATTCTTGGTATTCATCAACATACATCAGTGAATATTTGCAACTAGGTATTCGCAGAAGCAGCCAGTTATCCAAATTTTTACCATGAATTGTTATAAACAAAATTGGAATTTCAGCGACTCCGACACTCTTCTGCATTTAAAATAATTGAATCCGACTCCGTTTCAAACCAAGTACAGTCTCTAACTCGATATAGAAGGGGCCATCGAGGATATCGATTAACGGAGGTAAATTTTGGAGATTTGTTAGACAAAATCGTTTGAAGTAGCCTGGATTTCAATCGAGTAAGGGAAAATACAGGGTTGTTAAAACAACGCGGATTTCGCGATTTTCGTTTTTTTGTAGGTTTCGCGCGAATTTGCATCTCAGATTAGGTTTGGCGTGGATTTTGTATGTATTAGTTCCACTTAGTCTGAATTAAATCACTCACTCACACACATCCTGCACACCTCTAATGGTACATAGAGCCAACGTGAATGAGAAAATGGTTTTTGTAATGAGCAATTATCTATCAAATGTGCAAACGATTTGGCACGAGCCACTCTGATTTGAAACTTTCAACATGTCTTCAGTATGGAAGATTATGATTTTTCCATAGATCACGAGACCATTTTGACTAAAGACTATTTTTTTAAAAGGGCCTATGTATTTTCTCATATGAATTTTCCAATAAATTCTAACTCTAAGAAGTTGTAGAGAAATGATTGGACTTTAAAAGAAAAAATTTAAAAAATTGTTAAATTTTGAAAAACATAAAAATAAAAACATAAAATGTGAATTTCTCTTCATACCAACCTACGATTTTGACTACGTCTGTGATTTCTATATGGGGTACACTTTGTGAAAACCGAAAATGTAACATGTAACAAAATTATGCAAGATTTTGAACGTTATTAAATCAGCTGCCGCTGGACCAATTTCAATCATTTTATCACCAATCGATCAGAAATATTTCAACGTATCTGTTCAATTTAAGACTTTATCATTTTTCAGCATGTCACTATTGAAAATTGCACGTATGTGCAACTGTTGCTATAATAATTAAAACTATCACTGATTGCTTTCGAAAAGCTATTTCCCTAACACTGACTTCAAAGTTGAATTCCATCTGGTCTCAACCAAATGGTGTTTATTCAATCACCACGTGATGAGTGGCGGTGATCTCCAATACACAACGAAAGGCTCCCCGCAAGTCGCTAACTATCAAGTCTGCCCTCAACCGCTGATCGGATTCAGTTCCAATCACCGTGTGTGGTGCAGTCGGGTCGTCGGCATCAGCAGCAGCAGTGCTTTCGGCTCGTGGCATTGAACATTGTTCTCCAGTACACAACGAAAGGCTGCCTGCAAGCTGGGAGTTGCAGCCCACATGAGCATCCATAGAAGGAGGAAGAAGCCGCACCGCTATTCATGGGAATCAGTAGCTCTTCGTGTGTCGCTGTGGGCCATCTATGTCAAGCGCGTCATACTAAAGAGTATAAACAGAGAACCTCGCTCAAATTCCTTTTCCTACACAAAACACAAGTTCCTGCTGCAGTTAACAAATAAGATTTACATGGTTGAAGATGCTTATTTCAAATAACAGACTAAAGTGGTAATTTTTATACAATAGATGAGAAGGAGATGAAAGTATAGAATTGATAGTTCCGTTTAGAGTGCGGCAGTGTGAACATTGCATATAGAGAGTACACAGAAAAAATTCTGCATTTTAACTATCGCGTAAAATCTCCTTTCGTTTAATTTTGAGCTATACTTGGCATAAACAGCCAAATCGTCTGCAAGCTTGCATACAATATTGCTAATTTATGCGATATTGCGCTTAGATTTACACAAAATATCGCGTAAATTTATGCCAAATCTAGCGTTAATTTTATGTGAGCGATATCTCGCAGAAATTTACATGAATTTTTCAAACGGTGTAGGACCAACAATCAATACGAAACTAACGATTTTAAATTGGCTCACCACTTTAGTAGCCTATTGGTCCCAAGCAAACGATTAACGTACCCTATTCTAGTTGAAATTCTATTACTACACTATGTTTGTTTTGATTCGCTATGAAAGTTTGACAGATAACATCAGGGGTGTGTGGATTCATGCAGAACATGCAGGGGTGAGTGAAATAGCTTGGGACTGCTTGGGACCGTTGTTCTGGTACTGAGTGAGCCAAAAATAATAATGATTTTCTTCGGGACCCAGTGGTCTTAGAGTTACCTCTATGGTAGGACAGCGAGCTAGAACAACTTTTTTTTTTTTTTTTTTTCTTTGGTTTGTTTTTTCTATCGATTTTGTTTTCCGTGCTGAGCACCAATGCTACCGACGTGCCAGGAAGGCAGCTCCCACACCTGGACCCTACCTATCGACCCATCAACTCATGAACCGGGGACCAACGGCTTTACTTCCCATCCGAAGGAAGGCGTGATCAGAGATGTTATGCCTCAGAACATCCCGGCGGCGCCGACTGGGATTGAACCCAGGCCTGCTGGGGTGAGAGGTAATCACGCTTACCACTACACCACCGGCGCTGTTTAGAACAACTTTTAGGAAGGTACAAATCGGTTTTATCATCTCTCTTTACCAAACTCCCCCTTTGGATAGGGATGTTGAGGGGTGTCCCAAGTGCTCAGCACGGAAAACAAGATCGACGGAAAACAAATCAAGGGAAAAAATAAAGGTTAATCCAAGATGGAGCAATTTCAAATCAAAAAAATCCCGGAAGAAAAACGTGTTATGAATTTTTCAAATTTGATGAATTGGAATGAAAATGAATATTACATTAAATTAAATATTATTATTTAGGTCATAGCCAATCAAAATAATATTTGTGACCAACACCCAAACAGGTAGAAAACAAATTTTATTTTAATGCATACCTTTACAACAATGGACTTTGGTGTTGGTAGCAAACAGATATATTGTGTTCAGCTAAATAGTTAAATCTAAATAATAAAGCAAAGAAAAAAGTTAAATAGGCTTATAATTCAAAATAATTACATCAGTGTAGATGTATCTTCAAAAAATAAATAAAAATTAAGTTTGATACAATTTATCATTGCACAGAAAAAAATTCTGCATTTTAACTATCGCGTAAAATCTCCTTTCGTTTAATTTTGAGCTATACTTGGCATAAACAGCCCAATCGTCTGCAAGCTTGCATACAATATTGCTAATTTATGCGATATTGCGCTTAGACTTACACAAAATATCGCGTAAATTTATGCCAAATCTAGCGTTAATTTTATGTGCGCGATATCTCGCAGAAATTTACATGAATTTTTCAAACGGTGTGTTGTAAACCCTTTCAAAACAACGGGAAAAAGTGTTCACCTTAAGTTAGAAACTTAATGGATAAGATGATCGAAAAACTTATGTCAATGCCGTGTACTGTTAGTTTGCATGTGTCATTAAAAATTTGTGATTCGTGTCGTTTATATTCGTATCGTCTTATCAAGTGCCTACTACATCGCATCGATTTGGAGGAAATACCATCGGTAGTTTCAATCATATCAGGTTCTTTCCAATACTGTAATCTTCCGGATTATTCCAAGAAGCATAACATCGAGTTATTTAGTAAAGGTGTTACGAGAATCAACGTGTCTCCGATATCCTTGAAAGATTGCAGGAACGATAGCTACCGCCGACAAAAGTTTTCCGATATTGTAACAGGCATTAGAAAAAACTTATTCAGCCTACCACCTCAAAAAAATTCCAAAGAGCTTGATGCATTGAAAATAAAAGCTGCGGCATATGATGAAATTATTGTTAAACTGGGAGATAAATTCAATGCACCAGATTGTTTGAGAATTGACATAACTCGGATATGAACGATTTTGATGAATTCATGGTCGGTTCAGAAGATAACAGTATTTGAGGTGAACAAATACATGGCATTACAAGCAAAAGAATTAGCTGCTGGCAAAGGAACATTGGTTATAATTTGGGAAACCGTTTGGATCCGCAAATAACGCTGCAGTTTTTTGATGACAATGAAATCAGCTGAGCCATGCCAGAACAAAGGGTTTATGTATCTGTGAAGAATAATGCAAACGACTGCAAACTTCTTCGCTGATTTCTTCCGAAGTGTTTTCGAACTCGATCAAACTCCTCCTCCGCAGCAGTACATCGACCAGTTCCCGAACTACAACATTCGTCTGCAGCAGCTTAACTTCAGCCATGACGCTATTTTCAAAGCCCTTTGTTCAGTGAATGCATCGAAAGGCCCAGGTCCGGATCGTATTCCATCGTCTTTCGTCAAGAATTGTGCAGCATCGTTGGATACACCCGTTATGCTTATCTTTAATCGTTCACTCCGAATTCCTGGAAGCTTGCATCAATTACACCGATCTTCAAGTCAGGTAGCATTCACAGCGTGGAAAACTACCGACCGATCGAGATTTAAGAATTATTTGGCCAAAGTTTTCGAAAGTTTTCTGCATGACAAGTTGTATCCAGCTGTGCAATCTATAATCTCAGAGTTTCAGCATGGATTCATGAAAAAGCGCTCAACGATCTCCAACTTGATGTTCAGTCCAGAAAAGCGTCAGCAAGTAGACGCCGTTTATATTGACTTCTCTAAAGTTTTCGACAAAGTCCCTCATGGCCTCGCTATTGCAAAGCTGAGCCTCCATGGGTCGTTCGCTTGTTAAAATCATATTTATCCTCCAGGAAGGCTTTCGTTCATGAAGGTTCATGATGCCAGATCCGATGTGTTTGATATACCATCGGGAGTTCCACAAGGGAGCCACTTAAGTCCGTTTATTTTCGTTTTATTTATTAACGACGTGTGTGACCACTTAAGTTGCTGTAAGTGAAGTGTGATCAAATCGATCCTAGATTGTTGTGCTCTACAAACTGACATCGAGCGGTTAACATCGTGGTGTCAGATGAACGGAATGCAAGCAAACACTGTCAAATGCAAAGTCAATACCTTCACCTGTAGTCACTCGCCGATCAGATTTGATTAATCGATG